ATGATATTAATATATAAGCAACAGAGCTTGCTAATTTAAACATCATTATAACTAGTACTAAAAAATAGAAAACTAGATATGTAATAGTCTCAAACAAGAACACTAAAACTGATCAAGCTATCAAGACCCTGACTGAACAAATTGCATAACTAAATATCAATCTTGTATAAAAACAACTTGCTATCAAAGAAACTAACTATACTAAATCCTTTAGACTTTCTAAACCTCAAGCTACTTGTTATTACTATGGTAAAAATAAATACTTAATTGCTCAATGCCAAACTAAACGAAATAATTAATAAAAGAAAAATAGAAATTAAAGATATAATTGTGATAATAACTAAAGTTATAATTCGAACAATAACTCAAGAAAAAAAGTCTCAAAATTCTCTTACTGAAGATCTAATAATTAATAAAAAAGAAAAAACTAATCTCAAAATCAAAAAAGAAATTATTGAAATTAGAATAGTGATAACTGAAGCCAAAATCACTCACAAAAATCTAACTAAAAGAATAAATATTAAAGAGCTTTATCTTCTTATCTTAGAAATATTAACTACTTAGATAATAATAAAGAAAATAATCAAAAACTTCAGATAATCTAAGACTAATAGAAAGTCTTCTTTGCTAATACTTCTATTAGAAATGCTCTTTCTGTATATCTGTATAAGGAAGTCAAAGATAAAAATTTACTACCTCAATATATAATTTCTATCAAATGTAATATGCAAATCAAAAACTAACTTTACTAAGTAATAATTAATAGTAGTACTGCTATGAGTATAATTGCTCATAGTATTGTAAAAGAATTAGAATTAAAAATCAAACATACCTCAACTAGTCTTATTATATCTGCTATTAGAACCTCTACATGATCTCTTGGAATCATTAGAAACCTTTCTATAGAGATTAAAATTGCTCACATATCTATTATAGTTGAAGTAGTATTTGCTACCTTCTACTCCTTACTATTTAGAAATGATCTGTTTAAAAAGATTAAGGCCAACTATAATTAAGCTAATAGATACTACTCATTTAAATAGAATAACAAGAAATACTCTACTACTACTACTTATAAATCAGATTACTCTTTGCTTAAACAACTAACTATTATCAACTCTAAGAATTTAAAGATTTATAATCAAGAATATTTGATATTAAAGTTTTATTCTTTTAAAATAAAAGAAGTTTTTATAACTAATAACAACTAAGAATAGCAAATTCAACTACTATACAGATATCTCCATACCTATAAACCTTGTTGAGTTTGTAAACAAACAGACTACCTCTTTAAAGGTTGCTCTAAAAATGTTTGTTATAGATATAACCAAAAAGAATATATTGCTGCTTTTTGTTCTAACCAAATACCTAAAAAAGAAAGTTGCAAAACTTGTAATCAAAGTAATTATACTTATAGGCAATGCTTTCAAAACTATTGCAATAGACAAACTATTGAGAAACAAAATCCTCATACTATAGTCATATTTGAGTTTTTCACTACTACTAATATGCTATACTTCAACTTGAATTAGAACTATTTGAACTAGAACAAAGATTAATTTGTAAACTCTGCTATACTATTTTCTACTAAAGACTAAATTATGATAACCCATAAAGCATATATTTCTACTAACAAGATGAAGGCCAAGAAATCTTTGTAAACTGCAAAGTTTGTAGAAAAGAAGAGCCTAGATCACAGATACTATTCAAAGACAATAGTACTCAGAACCTATAGTTCTGTAATTTTTTTTTTTTTTTTTTTTTTTTTTTTTTACTTTATACAAATACTATCAGCTAACTTTATTAATTTCAGAAATTTCAGAAATGATATATATTGTAAGAGTACAGCTAACTATATGTATAATTTTAGATTATCTATTTTAAGTAGTCTGCTCGAAGGTTCTATACTAGCTACTATATCTGAAATCTCTTAGAAGATTCCCTATTTAAACTTTCTGGTCCTATCTCACTTATCACCAATATTACTCTTATAGTTAACTCTAACTCTGTGCTACTTCATATTAGGAGGCACCCAAGCTGATATTAGTTACAAACTTTACTATTATAGGTCTAGGTCTTATCTAAATAAGTCCTACTTCAACGCCTCTTAACAGATAGGTATCATGATACCTAACTATACTATGCTATATTCATATTCTAACTTGCAAATACCCTTATTCGATGTTTGTACAAATCTAGTTCTAGCTATGACTCTCTACCAAATTAAACTTCTGTATTCTTCTAAATGTTTCATGAGGCAGATTCTCTCAATCTAGTTAGCTACTAAGCCAAGTTGGTATTGCTGTAATACCTAATATCATGAATCTGCTCATATCTACTTGATCTATATCTTCATACTCAGAAATCTTTGTTGGATCAAGCATTAACTGGTATGACTGTTGAAATCTGTACTACTTCACCTAATTCAGAATTTCTACCAAGCAGATTCTCTGTTCATAGATCCTATCTCAATTTATTCATGTAATACAACTCCAATATTCTATCATACTTCCAATGTCTAAACAACATTGATACAACATGATTTATAGGGTTACAACTCTAGAAACAGATAGAGTTTACTGTAAGTTGGATACAAGGTTTGAGAAATTATTCAAAGTGTCAACAGAAGGATTTGAACTACAAATCTATTGTATAGCAGTCTGACAACCTATCCACTATACTAGATTACTGGACCTATATTAGTTCTGTAATTTAGAATATATATATATTTATAAGGCCTATATTGATATCCTTAATAATAACAACTATAACTTTTAGACTAGAATTAAATACTTTACTAAATTTACACAATATACTAGAAGTATATATAACCTTAAACATACTCTAATATTTAGACTAGTTAAAATCTTGTTTGAGAAAAGTGATTTCACTATTCAAAAAGTCTTTGAACTCCAAATCTATAATCAAATAAACTATAAATAGTTAATGAATAAAATGTCACACTTGCTAAGAGCAGAAAGAGATTTGCTCTATAACAATAAATAAATAATCTTATAACAAATTCTAGAAGACTTTATAGATATTAGCTACCTTGACTTTAATAGACAAGCTGCTATAACTAACTTAAAGAAAAGCTTTATAGTCAAAGTAGATCTTTGCAATAAATATTTAATAGTATAATATTAAATGAGCTTTATTAAAACCAAAGAATCTGAATAAATATACCTTGATAAAAAAACATCTGAAGATTCAGAAGAAAAGAAACTTGAAGAGCTACCTGAATAAGTAGTACTCTAAGATATAAACTAAAACTTAAAAATTTAACAACTAGAAAACTAAATTCAGAAGCTAGAACAACTCAACTAATGACTCTTTTAACTACTTATTAATGATTCTTAATATGCTAATGAACAAGCCTAACAACTAATTTTATTAGCTAATAAATTAAATTTTTAGAGAATCCTAAGTAGGATGAAAAACTATCTGATGAACAGAGCCTAAATTTTTTTATTTAAAACAGAGATTTATACTATAGACAAAGAGCTACAACCAGAGATAGGACCTCTAACAATAGAACAAAGATAATTATTTAAATAATTATTATCAGAATTTTCAGACTTTTTTTGTAAATAAAAAGAATGAACTAGGTAGAACTAATCTAATTATTCATTAAATATATACTGAGAATATACTCTTAATATAATCATGACCTTATTTAGTACCAACAAATGAGCAAGAATTTATCAAACAAGAAATTCAAAAGATATTAGAAAACAAGCAAATATGAACTTCAGAAATCTTTTGAACTTTACCTGTAGTACTTGTTAAAAAGAAAAATAGAAAATTATAATTTTGTATTGACTACTGGAAGCTTAATAGTACTACTAAAAAAGATATATACCCTTTATTAAGAATAGATAAAATGTTAGATACTATAGCTAGATTCAAATAGTTTTCAACTTTAGACCTTGCTAGTAGATACTGACAAGTACAAATGCATTCTAATAATAGAGAAAAGACTACTATTACAACTCAATATAGTATATATGAGTTTAATGTCATATCCTTTGAACTATACAATGCTCTTATAATATTTTAATAATTAATAGACTGAGTTTATAAGAATATTGTATAAAAATTTGTTGTTATCTATCTTGATAATACAATAATATATTTATGAATATTTAATGATCATATGAAACATCTAAGAAAAGTGTTTCTACAAATTAGAAAAGCTAAATTAAAATTAAATTTATAGAAATATCAATTTTGAATGCAATTACTACTTTTTCTTAGATATATAATAACTCTACATAGAATAGAACCAGACCCAAGAAAAGTTGAAACAATTAAAAAGCTAATACTTCTAAAGAATGTATCTTAGCTATACTTATTCTTAGGACTTGCTAAATATTATAAAAAGTTTATTTAAAACTTTTCTAAAATAGTTAGACCACTAAATAAGCTATTGAAAAAAAACAACAATATAATTAAAAAAGAGATCAAGATAAAGCTTTTAATATATTTAAAAAGAGATTAAGCAAATTAAAATATATTTTAGTAAAAAAAACTCTTTCCTGTTCCCCTTAGTTGAGGAACTAAATATAACAAAATAACAAATAACCAAACAAAAAACTTTTTTTTGGATACTAACAGAGCCAAAGTTCTCAAAGTTAGAAAAAAAAAACTACTTATGAGTACTATAGATACCTTTAAAAACAAAAAAACTAAGCTTTCAAATAACAAAAAAATCTTTGATCTTTTTTCATACCTAAAAGAAGAAAACAAAGAAAACCTGCTAAACCCTCTAAGTAGCAAAAATATCTCTAGTCCAGAGCAAAAAAATAACTAAGCAGACAAAGTAAAAGTAGAAATCTTTAACAAGAGTAAAAATAAGCAAATAGACTATACAGAAGCCTCATTAAGCAAGAACAATAAAAGCTCTAGCTTCTTTTCTATAAAAGAAACAACAAAACAATATGTGAAGTATGACGTAAACAAAAGTCACATGAGTGATCCAATCATCTTAAATAACAAAAATGTATCAAAATCTAAGCTACAAGATAAGGTAAACAACTCTGAAGCTAATAACTAAAATTAACTTAAACCAAAATGCTAGTTAAATCTGTTCATCAAACTCAGAGGTAGTAAAGCTACTTACAAATAAGAGATCTAAAAAAATAAGATTCTCTTTAAAAATAAAAATATACTAGTCTTTGATATCTAAAGCCTTAACAATATATCTACAAATGATATTATTCTTTCTCTAGTAAACTCTTTTAGTAAAGACTTTCTAGCTACTAAATTACATTTTAGTAAAGGAAAAAGAGCCTATCTAGAAGTAGTCTTTAAAAATGAATTTTAGTAGCAATATTATGCAATAGAAGGAATTAATATTTTCAAACAAATGATTTTCAATTATATTTCTATTAATCTAAAGAGAAGCTTTTACTCTGTTAAAGTTAGAAATATACCACTAGGTAACAAAGACCAAACTAACAAACTTCTTTTAGAAACTTTTCAAGATTTTGAAACTATCTCTTCTGTCAAGCCTCTACTTTTTGAGGGAATATCAGTTTGCTTGAACTAGTGAATTGTCTCTTTTGAAATAACTGAAGATCCAGACCTTTCTCAAAGACTGCTAAGAACTACTTATATTAGTGATTACAAAGTTAGCATCGAGTAGAAGGAAGCTTCAAAAATATACTACTATTGTAAAAAAAAAAAGAGTTAAAAAATACAATCACAATTTGAACATATTATAAAGAATTAAGACTACAAAAAAAGAAGAATCAAACTAATCATAAAACTTAGCCAGAACTTAGTTCTGATAATCTCTATACTCAAACTTAAGCTGAACTAAGCTTACAATCTACAAATTCAAAAGAAGAAAATTCTACTCTATTAACAGAAACAATTATTGAAGAAAAAAACTCTTTAAAACAAAACTGCTTTATAGTAAAAGCAAAAGATAATAACTCAGATTCTGATCAAGAGACAAATACCTTTTTCTTTGATCTAGAATCTTTTAAACCAGAAAGTAAACTCGTAATAACTAATATACAGAAGAACAAAAAAAGAAAAAACAAAAAAAAAATACAAGAAAATGATACTATAATAACAGAAGCAGCTACTTCTGAGCTGAGAACTTTCTCTCAATAGATCATAATACTTTCAAAGATAACAATCCAAAAACAATCATATCTTATTATGAAAAAAATCATAATTGCAACTCAAAATGCAAAAAGCCTAAACAATAGAGCCAAAGTACACAAAACCTTAATTCTTTTAAAATTATATAATCTAGATATTATCATAATTCAAGAAACAAATCTAAACAATATAAACTCTAGAAATTTTTTAGTCTAACAATAGAGCTTTGACTCTTTCTGGTTCTCAAAAGTAATGATTCTTGTTGGCAACAAATAAACTAAAATTATCAAAGCAAAAACCTCTTTTAATGACTAAATAATTCAAATAAAAATCTCTTACAAAAATAATACCTTCTTAGTTACTATCATATATACATCTCTAAACCCAAAAGGCAGAATTAATTTCTTTAATAGCTGATCTTCAATGACCAATAAAGACTATATAAACTTTATAACAGAAGATTTTAATGTAAATCTAAACCTTCAAAAAGACTGAGAGTAGGTTTAAATGAGACAAATAAAACTTTTTCTTGTTTCTCTCAAGTTAAGAGTACCAATAATACAAAATAACTAAAAAACTTTATACAAAACTAACTTTTGCCTCTCAAAAGGCTATAGCTTCTAAAGTTAGGAAAAGAAAACTTCTAACAAACTTCATGGGTTACAACAAAAACAAGCAAACCAAAGTTTTTGATAATAGAAAAATTTTTGATCTTTCTTCTGTTTCTGAAGAAAAGGAGGAAAAAAAATACTGAAACCTCCTCTAAGGCCTCTTTCTCATCTAAAAGCTACTCAACAGATACTAGCTCTGAAAACTCCTAAGCAAACAAAGTTGAAAAAAAACTTAACGAGTCTAATAAAATCAATAGCTCCTACTTTTCTCAAATAAAAATGAGGAAATACCAAGTCTTTCTTTTAAGAAAACAATAAACAAACACATCATCTCAGATGTAAATAAAGGACATATAAACAACCTAAGTAACCAACTAACTAAAAACTCTTCTGCAAATCACACTAATGCAGAACAAATAGCTACATTAGGAAAAACTGATGATACTAATGATAATATGAACAAATCTAGGCAATAGTCTGATCTTTTTATGAAACTATGAAGAGGCAAAGCTACTTTTAAGCAAGAAACTTCTAAAAACAAAATTTTGTTTAAAAATGAGAATTCTCTTAATTTTAATATCTCTACTCTTAATAATATATCTACTAATAATATAATTTTAGCTCTCACAAACCTTCTTGATGACAAACTCTTAGTTGCTAAAACTCACTTCAGTAAGAGTAAAAGAATATATCTCGAAATAGTGTTCAGAAAAGAATCACAAAAACAATTTTATACTACAGAAGGTCTAAATATATTTAAACAAACGATCTTTAGTTATATCCTAATCAATCTCAAATACAGCTTTCTCTCAGTTAAACTGAGAAACACTCCTCTTGGAGATATAAACTAAACTAGCTACTTAATCAAAGAAGCATTCATAGACTTTGGTACTATTGCCTCTATCAAGCTTCTATTCTTTGAAAGAACCACAGTCTATTCAGACCAGTGAATCATCACTTTTGAAACTACAGAAGATACAGACTTAACCAAAAAGCTTCCAAGAACTACTTATGTAGGAGACTATAAAGTTACTAAAGAATAGAGAGAAGCTCCCAAAATTTGTTACTACTGTGAAAAAGAAAGGCATATTAAAAAAGACTACTAGGATCTCAAAGAGGCAATCACACTTCGCAACTACTACAAAGAACTAAAACAAACAAAAAAACTAAATAATAAGACCTTACAACTTCAAATTAGCTCTAGCCCTAGCAACCCTTATATCTAGAAAAGCAAGGCACTTGAATCTTACTCTATAACAACTACTCTAAAAGAGTCAACAGACTCTTTGAACAAACACAATATGATTCTTTAAGGTCTATCTTCAAATACAAAAACTAATAACAACACTATCACAAAATTTGGCCAAAATTCAGATATAATGGATGTAGATTACAAGTTCCAAGCTCCAGTAAAAGAGCCTACTCTAGCAATTTCTAAAAGTAAAATAGGAAACAAGAGACTCTCACACTTAGAAGAAGTCACTACAATACAGGATACTAGGAAGCCTTCTTCAGAAGCTACCTTGCATTAAGAAATCCTCAACTCTTATTATAAATCTACTCTTTTATTATACTGTTTATGAAACACATCAAAATAGCAACTCTAAACATTAAAGGTCTTAATAACAAGGCTAAAGCCTACAAAACTCTAATTTTACTAAAGTTATATAACTTAGATATAATTGCAATTCAAGAAACTAATCTAAACAATCCTAATACTAGAAATTTCTTAGCTTAACAATGGGGTTTTGACTCTTTTTAGACAACATCAGAAAGTTATTTTTATGTAAAGCTACATAAAATATCTAATTAAATTATACTTAAAAATTATACATAAACTTACAAATCTAATATAAACTTATATAGCTATAATTTTTATATAAATACATATATATATATAGAATTATATAAAAATTTAAATAAAGGTCTAGTAATCTTAGTATAGTGGTTAGGTTGCCAAACTGCTATACAAAAGGTCTGGGGTTTAAATTCCACTGTCAATGAATTTGAATAATTACCCAGATCTTTGTACACAACTTACAGTAAATCTTGTTCATTTCTGAGGTTATAACCCTGCAAATCATATTGCACTAATATCATCTGGATATTGGAAGTATGATAAGACATTTGGTAAGATGTAATATTATATGAATAAATCTTAATAGAATCTATAAGCAGGAGACCTGCATGGTAGAAATCCTAAGTTAGTAAAGTAGTATAGTCTTCAATAGTCATATCAGCTAACACTTGATCCAGAAAGGAAACTATTATTAAAAGATGCAGATCAAATCAGATGCATATAAATTCAGTTTACTGAGAGAATTGGTAACACTAACCTGGCTTGGCAGCTAACTAGATTGGGAGGATCTGCTTCATGAAACATCTGAGAAGATTGAATATAGAAAACTAGTGGAGAGCCACAGTAGAAACTAGGATTATACGAATATCTACAAGGGTCTAAACTAGATGAATTCATAAAATGGATATAGACCATTCTAGTAGATATGCTTCAAGATTAACTGGCTCTGCAATACCTACAATGCATTAGATACAATATATCCTGAGAGACCTAAGCCATTCTGAATAAATGGATCTATAACAAGCTAGCTAGCTTAAGCGGTTAGGTGTTGTAGTAATATTAAATTGGCAGGTTACAGATATAACAGCATAGTGTAGAATTAATCAAGTGGTCTAATCGCCTATGCAGCAAACTACTTAAAATAGACAATGACTAAAGTTGTATGTGTAGCTTATTATATACTCTTTATGTAATTACAAACAGTAGGAACTATTAATAGATATCCCGTATGCAATTCTAATAAAATTCCTTCAGCAATGTAAGCCACCTTAATAACAAAAAAAAATAAAATAAAATAAAAATTTAAATAATAGTTATTTAAATTTTATATGATAGCTATAAAATCTTAAAATATAAATAAATTATATATATATATTTATATAATATTTATATAATATTTAATTAAATTTTATACAAAAATTAACAAAATTCAAATATAAATAAATTATACATATATATTTATTTATTTTATTTTATTTTTTTTTAGCAATCTTGCCTATCATTTTATTAAGGAAAAGTTTACATATGCTACAAAGTAAATTACTATCTAAAGTATAATAAAGTACTCTCTTTTAACTATTCTAGACTTACTCAGCTGCCTTAAGGTACCCAAGTACGATTTGCTACAGCAACAATTTCTCTCACAGAGACTTTAGTCTGCAAGTACAGACTTTAGGCCTTCGGTCTGTGAGAGGCTGCTACTAGCCTATATCAAAACCATCTTATTTTGTTTTAATTTTTAACTATCCTTCTTTTTTCCCTGTTCTTACCCATATGTTAACCCTTTCTAATACCTCTTTCTGTAATCTCTCTTTTTTCTTTTTTATTTTTTCCTTTTCCATATCATTAAGTTAGACATTTTCTTTGTCATCATTTTCCTTTTTACTTTGTTTTTTCTTCTTTTTGTCCTTAGTCGAGATTTGGTTCTCTTTTTCCCACTTGATCATGATTTTGTATTGGAATTTCCACAGACGTTCGAAAAAATACTCCCAAAAGTGTTTTACAAAGCTGACTAAGATTCTGCTTGCCTTCTTTCTTGACTGAGTTACTTTGCTTAAGCTTGTAAGCTGCTTAATACTTGTAAGTCCTCTTAGATGTATCTTTCTGTTATTTATTTTTTCTCTGAACTCAGTACTGTATATTGCTTCTTTAAGAGAAATCTTGTTTAATATTAGATCTAATTTTGTCGAAGCTTCTAGGCCTGTTAGCTGTATAGCTTCTTTTTCGAGTTTTCTTCAAATTCCTTAATATATTTTGTATTCTGCCAGGTAGTAGAAAGTTTCATCTTTTCAGAAACATACTATATATCTTTGACTTTTGTAAAGCTTAGGATTCCTTTGAAAGCAGATATCTTTTATAGGTAAAATCTTGTTAATGCATTTTATACAGAACATGAGAGATTTGCTCTTTTTCAAGCTGATACATTTTTTGCTCTACATTTCTTTAAGCAAATCCCATATAATTTTCTAATTCAGCTCTGTATTAGAAATAGAGTTTAGGTTATAAGCTACAATTTCTGCTGTTTTGCTTAGATTTGCTCATTCTGTTTCGTATACTATTGCTATAATGATATTTATGAAGAATTTTAGAGGCCTTTCGATTGCTTGACTTCTCTATTTAGGTATAGCTATTAAGTTACTAGATGTTGTCTCCAATATGCTGAGACTTATAGGTTTTTTCATTCCTTCCTTAGCTAATCTATCTGCTTGGTCATTCTATTTGTTTCTGCTATGACCTTTGACTTTATGCAGTATTAGGTTTAAGTCTTTTGCCTTGCAATATCTTTGAATGTAGCTTATTATACTTCTGTTTTTTAGCTT